TGTCGCTGATGATGCTGCTGATGATGAAGATGATGATGATGATGATGATGATGATGATGATGATGAGGATGAGGATGAGGATGAGGATGAGGATGAGGATGAGGATGATGATGATGATGATGATGATGATGATGATGATGATGCTGATGATGATGCAGATGAGGATGAGAGGCGAGCAGAGGAGAGGAGTGGAGAGGAGAGGAGAGGAGAGAGGACGAGTGGAGAGGAGCGGAGAGGATAAGAGCGGAGCTGAGCGGAGCGGGGAGGGAGAAGGCGGAGGAGGAGGAGGAGGAGGAGGAGGAGGAGGAGGAGAAGGAGGAGGAGGGGAGGAGGATGAGGAGAGGAGGATGAGGAGAGGAGGAGGAGGGAGGAAGAGGAGGAGGAGGAGGAGGAGAAGACGAGAGGAGGAAGAGAGGAGCGGAGGAGGCGGAGGAGGAGGGGGGAAGAGGATGAGGAGGAGGAGGAGGAGGAGGAGGAGGAGGAGGGAGGATAAGTAGAAGGAGGGTGAGGAGACGGTGGGGGAGGAGAGAGAAGAGGAGGCGGAGGTTGAGAAGAGGAGGCGGAGCAGGTGAGGAGGAGGAGGAGGAGGCGGAACCGTAGGCGGAAGCAGAGGCGGAGGCGGAGGCGGGCGCCGCGGTGGAGGAGGAAGACGAAGAGGAAGAAGAGGAGGAATAGGAGGAGCAGGAGGAGGAGGAAACGGGCCAGGAGGAGCAGGAGGAGGAGGAGGGAGAAGGGAGAGAGGGAGGGCGGGAGCGTGGGAAGAGGGAGGAGTGAAGGAGGAGGGGGAGAGGGAATGAGGGAGGGAGGGAGGGAGGGAGGAGAGAGGGAGGGAGGTAGGGAGGAAGGGAAGGGAGGGATGGAGGGAGGGAGGAGGGAGGGAGGGAGAAACGCGGGAGGAGCGTAGAAGGAAGGAGTGAGGGAGGGAGGGAGGGAGGAGGGGGCTACACAGAAGGGGGTTCAGGCGAGGCGTCGCCCCCCCCCCCCCCCCCGGGCCCCCCAGGCATCAGTAGGCGAGCAAATCTGGCGAGAACAGGTAGTGGCGGACGTGGTGCTAGCTATCACTTTCTCCTCGATTCCTCCTCCTCCTCCTCCTCCTCCTCCTCCTCTTTCTGCTCCTTCTCGATCTGGCCTTCTGTGCCACCCCGTCGACGCGCACGTCGTCATCTCCAGCCCCTCGACGTCGTCGGGGCTCACGCCAGCTGGCGAGAGTCGCGTCCAGCTGACGCCGCACATTGCCCCCCTGCGGAGCTTCAGGGTCACGGCGTGTGGAGAGGAGCGGCATCGGGACAGGGAGGATGTTGATGCTGCCGATGCTGGTGGTGATGATGGTGATGCTGATGATGATTATGCTGCTGATGATGATGGTGATGATGGTGATGATGGTGATGCTGGTGATGTTTGATGCTGATGATGATGTTGCTGCTGCTGGTGATGGTGACGATGCTGCTGATGACCATGACGATGCCGACGACGAGGATGCTGATGATGCTGATGATAATGATGATGCTGATGGCGCTGATGGTGATTATAATATCGATGATGATGATGCTGATGTTGTTGATGATGATGATGATGATGCTGATGATGATGATGATGATGATGATGGTGATGATGATGATGATGATGATGATCATGATGATGATGAGGAGGAGGAGGAGGAGGATGAGGAGTGGGGGTAGGAGGAGGATGAGGAGGAGGAGGAGGATGAGGAGGGGGATGAGGAGGATGAGGATGAGCAGGAGGAGGAGGAGGAGAAGGAGGAGGAGGAGGAGGAGGAGGAGGAGGAGGAGGAATTCATGGATGGAGGCCCCGAAAGGGATACTGCGGTTACAGCCTCAATATAGGCGCAGGCGGAGGAGGAGGAGGCGGAGGTGGCGGAACCGTAGGCGGAAGCAGAGGCGGAGGCGGAGGCGGGCGCGGCGGTGGAGGAGGAAGACGAAGAGGAAGAAGAGGAGGAATAGGAGGAGCAGGAGGAGGAGGAAACGGGCCAGGAGGAGCAGGAGGAGGAGGGAGAAGGGAGAGGGAGGGCGGGAGCGTGGGAAGAGGGAGGAGTGAAGGAGGAGGGGGAGAGGGAATGAGGGAGGGAGGGAGGGAGGGAGGAGAGAGGGAGGGAGGTAGGGAGGAAGGGAAGGGAGGGATGGAGGCCCCGAAAGGGATACTGCGGTTACAGCCTCAATATAGGCGCAATTCCGCTCCCGCACCAGCGGCGCGCATCAACGCGGGGGCGCTCATGCACGAAGGGGCCGCGGGCACAAGCCGAGACCGACCTCCGTCCCCCTTTAACAGGCTAATTTCTAGCCGCGCGGGGGGAAACACCACACCCCTAACGCACTTAGGGGCCATCTAAATGAAGCGACAACCCACCCCACCCACAAGAAACGGAGCGTTGCTCAGCGGCCGAACCCCACAAGCACGTCTACCTCAAATCCCCAGCGCAGGTCGCAACTCCCAAAAGGGGCGAAGGACATCCTACTGGTGCGAAGGACCGAACCTTTCAGTGCTCAAGCCTGGCTGCGAGGACCTGGGAGGGCTTGGAAAGGGGGTGGGGGGGAAGGGCGGGCCACTCTCCGGCCAAGGGTGCGCATAACGTCCACTGCTGGGCTTTTCAACCAGGGGCCGTGCCGCCTTCCCTTTCCGAGGGTCCGGAAGGGAGGGCTTGGAGGGACCTTCTGGCTCACGCCATGACAGCGATCGCCCCCAGGAGGGGGAAGGGGAGCGGGGGAGGGGAGGGGACTGGCCTCAACCCACACGGGATCATCGGCAGTACACATCGCATGACCGCGCGGTGCCAGCGGGCGTCCAGGCTGCACGGCTCGGCCGCCGTAGCGGTGCACATGAAAACCGCACTGGCCTGACGGCGGAGGAGGGAGAGGGAGGAGGAGGAGGAGGAGGAGGAGGAGGAGGAGGAGGAGGAGGAGGAGGAGGAGGAGGAGGAGGAGGAGGAGGAGGAGGAGGAGGAGGAGGAGGAGGAGGAGGAGGACGCGTTGCCGGTGCATTGCGTCGCGAGGCCAATCGCGCCTCTAGCACGCCTCCTCCCTCTCCGGGTGTCCCGCCCAGGGTTTCCGACAGACCCGCAGGCATGCTCTGGTGGCGGGCCTTTGACCGCCAACCAGCGCTCGGAGCAGCCCTACGCCACTGAGGTGGGCGCTGAGCGGTGGATCCAGGGACTCATGTGGGAGATCGACTGCAGAACTGATGTATCCCAAATGTCCAATGTTTGCCGAAACCACGACACCACGCATACATGTCGCAGACCTGCAAACATCTTACACTTCTGAGAAGGCTTCGGAGGACATGTCAGTTTTGGGGTGCCTCGATTCTGTAGCCGATCCCCTGCTCGAGGAGGCATGCGACGCCGCTTTTCTTTTTGGAACGCCGTGGGCCCCCGCGCGGAGGTCCAGGCCCGTCCCCCGGGAGCAGGATCGGGGATCCCCGGGGGATCCCTCTCCCCCAGGGATCCCTCTCCCAAGGGGGATCCCTCGGGGATCCTCCCGAACATCATCGGGGCCCTCTCGCTCGGGCATCCGCTCGCCGCCTCCCCCACGGGCCCGGACCCCCCAAGGCACGAGGTGCTTTGGGGGGGGGCGGCCGCGGCACCCTGCGACACACCTCTTCTCCGCTGCCCTGCGCCGCCTTATTAGCACGCCCCCCTATCTGGGCCCCAGCGCACCCGGCAACACACCTCTTCTCCGCTGCTCTGCGCCGCCGTGTCAGCACGCCCCCCATCTGGCCCCCAATCTCGATCCGATCCGATCCGTCCGATCTCGATCGATGCGATCCGTCCGATCTCGATCGATCCTATCCCATCTGGCCGATCGATCCTATCCTACCCGGGATAACTCGAAATCTCTGAGAATCGGCGGGTTTGGAGGATGTACTGGGCGCCGCGGCCGCTCCAGAGCGTTCCGGAACGCTCTGAGAGCACTCCGGAACGCTCTGGAGCGATTTATCCCGATCCTAGCCCTGTTTCATGTCGTCATGCAGGAATGCGGGATGCGCTGACATCATGGATCGTTCGCTGAAGTTGTTTCCTGATCGCGTTTTGCTGGAGGGTTCTAGCGGAAGTAAAGGTGGGCCACAGAAAAGTCCTACATGGGGGGACGGGGAGGTCGGGGACGTTTGGTCCCCAATCTCGATCCGACCGATCCGATCCGATGTCGGCTCCGGCCGGCCCGACTCGATCCGGTTCGGACGGAGTTTCGGGCGGCCAAGGTCGGGCCGCCGACGCTCGTGCGTCGGGCCGCACGAGATGGGGGGGATAGGGAAAGGGGGGGGTACGAAACCTGCTGCGTGCCGCTGGTTTCGGCCCCGCCGCCGGGAGGCGCCCATGTTTACATGGGCGCCTCCCGGCGCCTGGATCGGGGGCGGAAGAGAGGGGGGTGATGACTAGGGGGGGGTGGACATCATGGCGGGGGCCATGATTTTTCCCCAGATTTCATGGCGCCTCTTCTTATCTCATTACGTCCCAGGCCCCCCCGCTGGGCCGCGCACATGCCGCCGGCCATGATTTGCACCCCCCCCTCTTGGACACCCCCCTCTTTGCCGCTCCCGACTGGAGGCGCTGGGAAAATCAGCTAATTACGTGAGCTGATTCTCTACCCTACCCTTTGTGATCCCCCCCCTTTCGTTCCCCCCCGAGCGTGGCGCTGCTGTGCACCCTGGCTCAGCCGATTATTCGGTCCGGTTCCGGCTCGGTGCCGCTGCGGCCCTGTTCGAGATGCACGCTCCGCGCCGATCTCCTGAGTTTTGCCCGATTCGATGCGCTGGCTGATCCTTCCCACCAGAGCAGGAGGAGGGGGAGGAGGAGGAGGAGGAGGAGGGGGAGGGGGAGGGGGAGGAAGAGGAGGAGGAGGAGGAGGAGGAGGAGGAGGAGGAGGAGGAGGAGGAGGAGAGAGGGGGAGGAGGAGGAGGAGGAGCAGGAGCAGGCGCAGGCGCAGGACGAGGACGAGGGCGAGGACGAGGGCGGTGACGCTCGACCTCTCCTCCCTCCTCCCGCGGAGAGCCTCGGCCCGAGCCGGCCCCACGAGAGATGGACCTGGCGGTCGGCGTGGCGGGCGAGGGCCGTGCGGCGCGGCCGCTGCCGCCCCCGCCCCGCCGCCTGGTGTCGGGGCAGCGGGACGGTCCGTGCGGATGCAACTCCTGACTGGTCAACGTCTGCATTGTTTTGCCTTGGGCAAGCATCCAGCTTCATCTGGCCGGGCCCAGAGGTCCGAGCATGAATGATCGTTTCGGTCTGGAGGTCTTCTCCCGGATTTCGGCCTCCGCGGCCCGTTATCGGGCCCAGGGGCCATCAAGAATGGATCGGGGACGAAAACCCACCCCTGGTGAAGGGGTACGGACCTCTGGGGCCGCGGATTGAAACAATCATATCGGCGGGTGTCCGGGAATCCCGCTGAATCCGGCTTCTATACCGTTTCATCCGGCTCAAATCCCGCGGGCCTGATCCGGCGCAGCAGCCCTCCAATGGGGCTTCACCCTCCCCCATCCTTCCGACGAAGACCTCTCAGTGGTTGCCTCCTGAGGCCCGGCCGCCTCCTCGGAAGGCCCGGCCAGGGCGCGGGCGTCGCACGAGAGCTCCCGCAGCGCTCCGGGCGTCGTCGTGGCCTCCGGGCCCCTGGCTGGAGGGGCAGCGCCTGGGGAGCCGCCGGAGGTGGCGCGCTTCATCGAGCAGGTCTGGCACTGCCTGCCTGGGGACGGGGCGGGCGGCCCGAGCGAGGCGTCGCTCCTGCAGCTCTACCGCGGAGCCTCGAAGCAGCAAGTAAAGTGCAATGGTCGGCCACAGGGAAGAGAGACCCGTCGCCGGAGTGACCTTTGGTGTGGGCACATTGGGGTCCCCAGATGGCTGAGTACGATCCGACAGCAACGGCTTGCGCGCTTGCGGCTTGCACTGTAAATCTATCTTGCCTAGGGTCACTCCTGCGTGCAACCGAATCTTTACATCTGTACATCGATGCAACAAGTATGTTCTTGTATTTCGATGTGCATAACTACGTACATACATACACACGTATATTCATTCATTCATTCGTTCGTTCATTCATTCATTCATTCATTCATTCATGCGTACATACATATATACGTACGTACGTACGTACATACATCCATACATCTATACGTACCTACCGACATACATACATACATGCAGACATGCATGCATTCATTCATCCATATACACACATACAAACATACATACATACATACATACATGCATGTATGTATGCATACATACATACATACACAGACTCACATACATACATACACACAAACATACATACAATCATACATGCATACATGCATACTTACATACTTACGTGCATACATACATACATACACACATACACATACATACATACATACATACATACATACATACATACATACATACATGCAGGCATGCATACATACATACATACATGCGTACACACACATACACACGTACGTACGTACGTACGTACGTACATGCATGCATGCATGCATACATACATACATACATACATACATACATACATACATACATACATCCATACACACATACATGCATACAAACACACATATACACACATACATACATACATACATACATACATACATACATACATACGTACGTACGTACGTACGTACGTACGTACGTACAGACAGATTGACAGACAGACAGACAGACGGACAGACAGACAGACAGGCAGACAGACAGGCATACCTAGATTTAAACACATATGTATATATATACTTATATAGATATGATCTGCATACGCGTTCGGAGGTCCGCGCGGCTCTCGGGGATCCGCGCTGAAGCCCCCTGGTGGCGCCTCTGGCGCCGTCCCTGGCGCGCCCCGCGCACCAGGCGGGGAGGATCAGCGCAGATCCAAGACATCCGCGCGGACGTTCAGATGTTTAGTCTTATGGTGTTCCAACCTACTGTAGCCTTGGCTACCAGAAAGAATTTCGTTCTGGGCCCTGGGAGGCGACACTCGTTCGACACTGTTTCGACACTCTTCTGGCTGCTCGAAATGATTTCTGGGATATGGCCCTTGAGTACGATGGGAGCGACAGACGTCTACTCTTAGGTCGCTCTTGCTTCTCCTCTTCTAGGAGTGCGCGACGCGGTGGACGAGGCCCGCGCACCTGGCGCCGCTGCCGCAGCCCGGCGGCACCGAGCGCTCTGCCTGAAGTACGGCGCGAGCCGCCTGCAGGCCGTGGCCCGGCGGCAGGTGCGGGCGGCGTTCGGGGAGCTGGGCGCCCGGGCCCAGAGGCAGGGGCCCCGGGGCGAGGACGGGCCGAGCGACCTCATCACCCAGCTGATCTGCTGCCAGGCGCAGGCTGGGGGGCCCCAAGCGGTGGGGTCACCACACCGCGTGGTGAGTCAGTGGGGGGGCTCGGGGTGGTGCCCCGGCGCGGTCTTGGGACTCGGGCCGTTCTCCGAGGATGTCTGGGGTGACGGGGGCCTCCAGGGTCCCACAGCCGCGCGGTGACGGACCCTGCGGTGAGGTCCCTGGGGATGGCGAGGTCACCGCACGGTCTGCCACCGCACGGCTTGTGGGGGACCCCCGCGCAGGCCGCGGAGAAGCTGCAGCTGCAGCAGATCATGGTGCCGTGGAGCATGCGGATCGGCTGGCTCCTCGCGAGGGCGCACCGCCGCACGCTGGGAGGCAGCCTGGCGAGGTGGCAGGCCGCCGCTGCGCCGCCGACGGGCCCCGGGCGCTGCGAGGACCACCCGGGCGGCGAGGCGCGGCGGTCGCCGACGCCGGGCCGTGCGCCGCACCCGGGCCACGGAGCGCCCCCGCCCGCCGCGCGCCCGCTCGGGCCGCCGGCGCACGCCGCGAGGCTGGACGAGGCCTCGCCCAGCGGCGCCGGGCGCGGGGACAGCAGGACCGGCTGTGCTCAAGCCCCGATCTTCGACGCTGAGCTTCAGCAGGGAAGAACACACACAGACACAATTAGTCGTCGATTTCCCAGAAAATATAGGAACATATGGGAAATGGGGGGGAGACAAAAAGCCAGAAAATATGGGGAAATATGGGGAATCTTTTTATTATGTGTGTTTTTATTTGTGTGTTCCAGGGCCCCCTCATAGCTGCCCCGATGCGCAGCACGCAGCCCGCAGCGTGTGGTGACAGAGCTCCGCCCGCAGGGTGTGAAGGCGCAGGTCTGGCGCGATGCGCTCGCCGTAGAGGGGGCCAACAGGTGCCGAGCCAACACGTAACGTGGCCAACCCGGACGGTTCGAACACGGTGCGTGGTGCGTTGCAGCGCGGGCGTTCGACGTCACGTAAGAGTGACCCTTCGCCGGAGTGACCTTTGGTGCGGGCCCACGGTGGTCACCCGATCGCCGAGCGCGACGCGATAGTGGCGTCTTGCGCGCTTGTGTTTGGCCCCTCGCGGCCCCCCCAAAACCGCGCACCAAAGGTCACTCTTAATTACCCAGGGTCGCTCCTGCGTGTACGCGAAGCGTATCAGGGCAGCTAAGCTCCGACGGGATCGTTTAATGTTTAGCCTGTGCTCGTTGCCCGGATCTCGGCCTCCAGGTCCCGCGAGCGGGCCCTGGGGCCAGCAGATACGGGCCTAGGGATAGGTACCCCCACCATGATCTTATTCCCAACCCTCCTGCGTTGGGTTCTCGTTTTGAATAGAGCACTGCTCGCGCGTCTCCTTCCTTCCCTTCTTCCTTCCCTCCTTCCCCCCTGCCTTTTACCTCGCTCGTCGCTGCGTGCCAGCCTGCCTCCTACCTGGTCATCCCTGTGCCACTTTCGAGGGCTGCTGGGGGGCCCAGCACAGTGGGTACTCACCGCGGACTCAAATTAGACCTCGCCATCCCTGGGGGGCTGCGATCTGTGAAACTGTCGCCACTTTCGAGGCCTGCTGGGGGGCCCAGCACAGTGGGTACCCACCGCGGATTCAAATTAGACCTCGCCATCCCTGGGGGGCTGCGATCTGTGAAACTGTCGCCACTTTCGAGGCCTGCTGGGGGGCCCAGCACAGTGACCCACGCAGATTCAAATTAGACCTCGCCATCCCTGGGGGGCTGCGATCTGTGAAACTGTCGCCACTTTCGAGGCCTGCTGGGGGGCCCAGCACAGTGGGCACCCACGGCGGATTCAAATGGGACCTCGCCATCCCTGGGGGGCTGCGATCTGTGAAACTGTCGCCACTTTCGAGGCCTGCTGGGGGGCCCAGCACAGTGGGTACCACGGCGGATTCAAATTAGACCTCGCCATCCCTGGGGGGCTGCGATCTGTGAAACTGTCGCCACTTTCGAGGGCTGCTGGGGGGCCCAGCACAGTGGGTACCCACCGCGGACTCAAATTAGACCTCGCCATCCCTGGGGGGCTGCGATCTGTGAAACTGTCGCCACTTTCGAGGGCTGCTGGGGGGCCCAGCACAGTGGGTACTCACCGCGGATTCAAATGGGACCTCGCCATCCCTGTGGGGCTGCGATCTGTGAAACCGTCGCCACTTTCGAGGCCTGCTGGGGGGCCCAGCACAGCGGGCACTCACCGCAGATTCAAATTAGACCTCGCCATCCCTGGGGGGCTGCGATCTGTGACACTGTCGCCACTTTCGAGGCCTGCTGGGAGGCACAGCACAGTGACGCCACACGCAGATTCAAATTAGACCTCGCCATCCCTGGGGGGGCTGCGATCTGTGAAACTGTCGCTACTTTCGAGGCCTGCTGGGGGGCCCAGCACAGTGGGTACGCACCGCGGACCCAAATTAGACCTCGCCATCCCTGTGGGGCTGCGATCTGAGATCCCCGCCTTCGCAGTGGCTAGGGTTGCTCAGGGATTGTAACTAATCAGCTTTATCTCGTCCTTGTCCTGTAGCCAGTGTCCTGCGAGTGTCCCGAATTCCGTCTGCAGACATATGTAACCCTCGTTCCGTCATCGCCCCCTTTCTAAAGTGTCCTAGACTATTTGCGCCCCGCGTTTGCGCAGGGGGTGGGTACGTCGCCAGGGTAATTTACAGTCTAGTATGTGTCTGCTCCCCAGGCAGCGAGGGAGTCCTTC